TGCACTATTTTCTCACTTGTTTCCTTCTATTTCCATGTTACAGATACCTTTTTTTCTCTCTCTTCTTCTTTGATATAAACGCTGATCTCAAAAAGAGTGGTTTAAAATTTTGTCTTGTGATGATCGTTTTCCTGCCATGGGTGGTCAGTATACTTTGGGAAAAGACCACATTCTGAGGAAATTCTTTACTTAATATGGAATGTAAGAGTGAAGTACAAGATGTGACTGCAGGCTTTTTTTTCACCATATTTCTTAGCTACTTCATTCTATCTCATCTGTAAGCTTTTGGGACCAATCTGGATGTTTGGTCTCCCTCATCTTAGTATGTTCTGTCTGATGTTGAGACGTGGTGGTCTGTGTTAGGGCTCCAAGAAGATTGTAAGTGGTAAGATTTTTTGGCTTCCAGAATGTAATACCAGTATTTGTCAGAAACAGTATCTTTAATATTGCAAAACTGTTCTTTCTTGTCTTAACTAATCAGTTGATTTTTTTGAGGAGCAAGGACCACTCATCTCTTGTCCAACTCTGTATCTTTAGTTTCAGATAGGAATATCATAGAATCATAGAATCACCAAGTTTGGAAAAGACCCATGATATCACCCAGTCCAACCATTCACTCATCACCAGTAGTTCTCACTAAACCATGTCCCTTAACACAATGTCCAAATACCATACAGTATCATAACATCTTTTGTTACCCAACTAGAAAGAGTGGTTCTCCCTTCTGACACAGGTTGAGATGATCCGCTAGTTTCAGTGATGAAAAGAAATTACTTGTACTGCTTTCAAATAGCAAAAAAACCTTCTCAACACGACCTTGAAATTCACATGAAAACAGTCAAAGTGGAGCACTGTATAGTGTCTCCTTTCCAAATGAGTTTTGAAATCTCAACACTTTGTTTTTCCTTCTCATCCAACTTGATCATCTACTTCATTGCACTGTGCTGCAGCAGAGCTTTTAAGAAAGTAGTTTATCTTGGTAGATGAATGAGCATCTTGTGTGGTTGAAAATGAGTTGTAACATAGGTGAAACTCACCTTAAGAACATTCTCTGTCCAGGTGTTCTCTTCTTGTTCTAATTGAGGTCAACACAGGAATTCTAGAGGCCTTGATTCCATCTGATCATTGGGCTACTTTTTAGGCATTGCAGACTGTTACGAGTGATTTTGATTAATATATATTGTAACTGAGCCATTTTTTCTTCCACACAGAGTTTCAAACTTCAATTTCAAATTTCCTAATGAATGTAGATGCAGTTATGTACCAGCACTTTGTAATAACTTATGCCTATTACCAGATGTTTAGGTTTCTTCAGGACCTTCTGTAAAAGTCTTTCTGTCAGTGGGTATCTCAAGAAGTTTGTTCTCTTCTGTCAAGACAAATAAGTGTGAGAAAATGCCTCAGCGACTCAGGTTCGCATACATGTCATATGTTTTGAACAGCCTGGTAATTTAGTTAAGCAATGAAAAATACAGTCTCCTTTCATGCACAATTAATCTAAGGCTGGAATATGCATTTCCTTCATTGAAAGAACAGCTGTGAACCTCACTGTGGGAGATTGACATTACTAGTTCTCTGCAGGAACGCTTCACAAAATGTTGTTATTAGGAAATAACATGATAAGAATAATCCAAATATAACACTTACATAAATTATAACTTTTTTTTAACTTACTATTCTCTTACTCTTTAAAAGCAAATCTAAAAGATTTTTCTAAAAGCTTTTCTAGGAGATGTGAATTTAAGGTAACATGGAGAAGAGTTAAAAAAAAAAAAGTAGGAAATTAAAAGCTAAATTGAAATATTTGAATATTATGATCATAGTTCATCTGTTATTATTGATAGAATTAAAGGAGAAATAATGTTTCATAGAAAATAAGGTTTAAAGTGGTTTTATTTCACATACATTGCTTGAAACTTTACTGTTGTTTCTCCCTTCTAATTTAGTAATATTCAGACTAAGACAAATAAATAGTTACTTTAAGCTACTTCTTATGTTTATAATAATATTACTGTAGTATTTAACTGCAGTAAAACACAAGATAATTAGAAGCTAATGCCAGTTTTAGAGAGCTGGAGACAAGTGGGGATCTGTTTTCTTTTTCCTAGAGGAAGAAGGTCTGTGTTCCAAGCGGCATGCTTCCAAAGTAGAGATGGAAAATGTGAAGAAGTCTCTGGGAGGCCAGAGCAGTTCAAAGCTACTTAATCACTTTCTGAGACTCACTTTTGTGGTTTTAAGTATCTGATGGCTTTTTTGGTATGTTTGGAAATGTGGAGTTGTCACTCCTCCTCTAACCTGTGCAAATAATCATCAAGAACTTTGATCACTGCAAAGATTGTAATGTATTCTTTCAGATGAAAGACACATGGTAATTACAGTAGGTATCTTGCTTATACTTTTCCTACTCCGTTTTTTCTGTTTTCTGTTTTTTCCCCCTGGATTTTAACTTTGCTTGCAATCAAAAGTTTATTCCAAAAGGGATCTAAGACTTTTTCTCGGGAAGTTGTCTGGAGTGCGTGGAGACGAATGGGCTTTTTACCCAATCCTTGAATTTTTTCATTCAGCCCTGCTTCTGGTACATCCTTCTTCCCTCCTTTGTTCGGCAGTGACATACTGTAAAGTGTAACTCTTCATATTTATAGCCAGTAGACAATCTGTTCTTTTCAAAGGGGCATTTATGCAGCCAACTCCTGGCTAAATTGTTGAAGTGGTACAGCCTGCCTCATAAATTTGGTAGGGAAGAATACAATAACAACCATGTGCTTCCAGCAACAGCATCATACTGCTTAGTTTTGGATGATAGAGCACTACACATCAGGAGAATGTCTGGAATTCAAGTTTCAAATTTATCTACTACATAAAGCAAAGAACAAAATTTGAAGTAAAATTTTCTGCTAAGGAAACTACAACCTATTTTGATGTTTAGGGCTTTATTTCTCTCAAATTTACTGTTACTATGAACTGTTGAGCATTCTTAAAGGAAAAGGGGTAAGTTGTAATGCATTTAAATCTGGGATCTTTGGAGATTTTCAGTATATGTATTCACATGACAAAATAAGAGAGGGAGTTGTAATAATTTATTGCTCTCTAGATTTGTATCTAATCCACAAGTCACATAGCCTCTGTACTTTAAAGATATAAAGCTTATTATAAAAATGTAAGGGGAAGAGGTGATGTGACAGTCTGTATCTTCTGATAAGAAAGTTAAAGTGACTGTTTTGATCTGCATTCACTATGACACTGGTTGTACTGTAAGGCAAAATATTTTAACAAACCTGAAGTACAAATAGTTAAAGTATTCAGATTTTGAATACTTGTGCACATCAAAATAACTCACTATTCATGTTCAGTGGTCTTCTTGTTGGATAATTGCTGCAACACATGCAATAGATTATAAGAAGACTTCCAGTACAATAATTACAGCAGACTTTGCTGGCAGATACTAGAACACAGAACTCTCTTTAATCATAGTATTTCCCATAGCATGGGTGGTCACAGTCTGCAGGCGTTTCAGACAATCCATTCTCTGTGCAACAGCAGTTGCAAAAAAAAAAAAAGTAAACAGCATTCCACAGACTTTCAAAGTCTTCAGTTTTGAGAAAATATAGCCTTTCTCCGCCACTCCGCTACACTGCTTCTTTCTGACAGCCATAATCATATGGGCCACGGTTTCTACCAAGTAAATTCTTCTAGAATCAAATCAATAGTAAATAATACGTATACACTCTTCAGAGTTTTCTTTCTTTAAAATATATGCTATTTTTAAAACTGCATTTTTTTGTTTTCAGACCATAAGTTGTCACTTCTAACATAAAACACTATATGATGTTCAAGTTTTTTGAAAAACCTTTTATATTCCTTCTTTCTCTTTCCCATTCTTTTTTCTTCGATGTTCAGTATTCGGTTTTTTACTGTTTCTCTAAAATGTCTTACTGTTACTTTAACTGCTAGCACAGAATTTTTACTTCAACCAAAATAATGAAGAATTTAAGTGTTTGAGGTTTTTTTGCACCTGAGAGCCGGTGTACTGCTGTGGGACCTGGAGTACTGTGTCCAGGTCTGGAGCTCCCAGTGCAAGAAAGACAGAGAGCTGTTGGAGAGGGTCCAGAGGAGAGCGACAATTGAATGATCAGGGGACTGGAGCACCTCCCCTACAAAGAGAGGCTGAGGGAGCTGGGCTTGATCAGCCTGGAGAAAAGAAGGCTGCAGGGTGACCTCATTGCAGCCTTTCAATACCAAAAGGGAGCCTACAAACAGGAGAGGAATCAACTCTTTGAAAGGGTAGATAACTGCAGGACTAGGGGAAATGGCTTTAAGTTGAAGGAGGGGAGATTTAGGTTGGATGTCAGGGGGAAGTTATTTAGAGAGAGAGTGGTGAGGTGGTGGAACAGGCTGCCCAGAGACGTTGTGGATGCTCAGTCCCTGGAGGTGTTCAAGGCCAGATTGGATGGGGTGCTGGGCATCCTGGTGTAGTATTAAATGTAGAGGTTGGTGACCCTGCATGTGGCAGGGGGGTTGGAGATTCATGATCCTTGAGGTCCGGTCCTTTCCAACCCTGGCTATTCCGTGATTCTTTGATAACATGTCTGGGACAGATCAACATTTGGATATATGTACAGACTGGAGGATGACTGTCTCAATGGAAGCCCCATGAAAATGGTTTTCAAAGCTCTGTTGATGGTAAACTGAATCTGAGTCAGCAACCTGTGACTGGCCAGTAGGCCACACACTGCCAGTAGGTAAAGGAGGGGTTGTCCTACTCTGCTCTTGACTGTGCAGATTCACCTCCAGCACTGACTGCAGCACTGGATGTCACAATAGAAGAGGGACATAAAACTGTTAGAGAGCTTCCAAAGAAGAACTGTGAAGATGGTGAAGAGTATGAGGGCAAGGTGTGTGAGGATCAGCAGAGCTCTGCTCAGCCCAGAGCAGGGCAGGCTGAGGGGAGGCCTGATGGCGGCTGCTGCTCCTCACAGGGAGCGGAGGGGAAGCGCTGAGCTCTGCTCTGTGTGACAGCGACAGGGCCCAAGGGAATGGACAGGAGCTGCAGGAGGGGAGCAGCAGATGGAGCCTAAGGAGCAAGTTCTTCTCAAGAAGGTGGTGGGCATGGAGCAGGATCACCAGCAAAGTGGCAGAGCCCTGAGCAACCAGAGACCAGGGTGAATTTGGACAATGCCTTCATTTATCAGTGGTCCTGTGCTGAGCCAGAAGTTGGACTTGATGATGTGGGCAGCTTCCAACTCAAAATATTCCATGATACATTTTAAGATTTGGGACCATGAGCATTGGGCATCTTCTTCACAAGACAGTCAGTATCACTGCCATGAAAAGCTTACACTGCATTATGAATAAGGTTATGGTCAGACGAAGGCACTGCATAGGTAGAGCCACCAGTCACACAGAAAACAGCCAGTGAAAACCTCAAGTTATGGCTGTCCTAACAAAAACATCTTGACAAACTTATATGATAATCTTCATGATAAATAACATGGAAAACATAACAATTTCAAACTGCATCATGGTGCACACTCTATAACCGATTAAGGATGTGCTGAACAACAGTAATAGTTTGGAAATGTTGGTGTTTTGAGCTCCATGTCCTCTTCCCTTCTCCTTTTACATTACTTCTTGACCCTCTAACCCACTGTGAGTATTTTAGATTGATTCAAATACACAAGAGTGAGTAGAAAAACTAAGGAGCACAGTGTCTTGTAACAAATATTTATCCTAGTCCCAATCCAGGACAACCTGAAGTGGTAGTGCTGCCAATAGCAGCAGTTCCTCTCTCATCTATCTACAACTCCCTTTTCTTTCATACTTGACACTCCTTTCGTATCATCAAAATCACCAGTATGGTTACATGAATCAGATCAAACAACTGATATAGGTTAAAACAGACAGACATCTTTCTAACCTCCCCACAAGTTAAAGCATTCAGTAGAACATCACTTTGGCATAGCTCTCCTCACCACATCATATGCATATGCTGCTGTTTATAACAAATAAGTGACACATTTTTCTCTCTATAATACCTAAATGGATGTTATTTTGAATCACACATGGCCAATGTGTGTCAATACTGTAGATGTAGCACCTTTAAATAATAAATTTAATTCAAAGCAGCCCTTGGAAGGATTCATTCACTTACTTGAATCCAGCTGTTGGCCTTCAATTCCACAGGGTTCTGTGGTTCACTACTGTACAGACAACATAAGCACCACATCAGAGTCTTCTGGCTTTCATCTAATGAAAAAAAAAGAGCAAATAAGTCTATGGTTAGAGGAAAAAAAAATAAATCAAAATAGACAGAATTACACACAATTCCTACCTATCCACAAAAATAAAGTCCTAAATATCAGTCACAACTCACAATGCTTCTATTTTGCTAGATTTCCACAACACAATATTATTCATCTGTAGTTCTTGTATAACCATTTCCTTCAACAGCATTTACATAAAAAATACCTTAAGTTATCATCAAGAAATCATTCAAGTACTTAAATAATATCATTAATGATAAACAATAATCAACCATAGTAAAAATAGTTACTACCTTCTGTCAAAAGTCTGTACAACTGCATTTTTCAGAAGTGAGCATTTTTAAGTTTACAAAGTGTAAGATCATTCATAACAACAACAAAGAACACAGTTTTCTCTATATTCTCTATATTAAGATTATCCATGCTTCACAAAAAGGACATTTGAGCAGCATAACACCCAAATGCTGATGGATAAAAATTCTGTTGTTTCTTTTTGTTCAGCATCAGATAAGACATTACTTAATTCTAACCTACTTCAGGAAAAAAGTTGCCTTCTCTAAAAACCTACTACATGCAAAAATACTGTCACTATTTGCACAGACACTATTCTAGAGGAGTTGAATATTTGGAGTAAGCAGCTGGAGAGCATTTAACTTGTGATAGTTTCCTACCACATTAATTCCAATAGGGTTTTTTGTTGGTTTTTTTAATGTTCTTTGTGAAATACATAGACTCTACACTGAATATTACCCTAGAGTAAAAATGCATGGTTGTAATTTAAATTATGAAAACAAGATCTAGGATTGTAGATGATATAATATTGACTTAAATACTATTATTATATTATAAGCAAGTAATTCCACATGAGTTGCAGAAAATAGGAGACAATTTGAACATTATCATGCTCAATAAATGATTTGCTTTCTGTGCATTTGCTACCCAGGATGTAGTAATAAAGAATATTATTCAGAAGTGCTTTGTTGACAAAGCCTAAAGAAAAAATAAAACCTCAATTAAGTAATGCCTGTATTTTCACCAGCTGACCAGAAGTGTTTACACTTTTTAAACCAGTATTCTGAATAAACACCCTGCAAGCCTATAGGCCATCACTGGCCTTCCTCCACAGACTAGCATCTCTGCTCTGAAAGGGTTTCTCCTATACATTTAACTGGCTGCAGTTGAAGTGAGGTTTGAGGTGTTCTGGAATTGCATCCTTATGGATTTTTTTTTTAATACGAGTTTTTACAAGGCTAATGATTTTCCACGTTGTGTAAGATCAGAGTAAGAATAGCCAACCTATGAACTCCTCACCAGAAATTTAAAATCTGTGTATTTTGTCTGTAACTGTATCCAACCAGCATTCAGACACTAACAGGCAGCTTAATCTCCTTCCAAAAAAAAAAAATTTTTAGGCAAATGAGTTGTTCTCTTGAACAACTCTGACATGCAATGATTTGGGAAGAAAAATTAAATTGTACCATTTTCTTTGTTTAAACAACTAAACGATAGCCACTTGCTATCACTTTGAACATTACAGACACTTCTTAACAGTAAGTAGTAAAGCCCAGAAAAAAATCTGAAACCAAATCATCAATTCTGAATAAGGCATGTAAAAGTTCAAGTATCTTTTTTTTGCCTTATTATACTGTACATCTGTGGTATACTATACGGTCATTTTAAATTAAGTTATAGTTTTGCATTGATCGAAAGGGAAAAAAAAAAAGGAAGAGGGGAAATGTAACTCTTGAATTAGACTTCTGGACAGAAGACCTTTTGCTACATACTATAAAATTAAAAAACACTGCCTGTCAGAAATGCTAATCACTATGATGAAAGTCAGACTGATGAACGTAAAGCTGAGATGAACAAAGTGCACTTTCTCAGCATAATAAGATTACATGGATATACAGATTAAAACTTCAGCCTGTATTTGAACAGAGATTTGAGAGTTGATGGAAGATTCAACCTGAGCTGGCAAGGTGCACTTGCAGCCCAGAAGGCCAACCATATCCTGGGCTGCATCAAGAGAAGCGTGGCCAGCAGGTCAAGGGAGGTGACTGCACCCTTCTATTTTGCTCTCATGAGACTCCACCTGGAGTACTGAGTCCACTTCAGTATACTAAAGCCCCCAACATACAAAGGACATCAAGCAGTCAGAGCATTTCCAGAGGACAGCCATGAAGATTATAACAGGGATGGAGCACCTCTCCTACAGGGACAGGTGGACAGAGCTGGGGCTCTTCAGCCTTGGAAGACAGAAGGCTTCAGAGGGACTTTACTGTGGCCTGCTAGTACCTGAAGGGGGCCTACAGAAAAGCTGGGAGGGACTTTTTCTAAGGGCAGGTAGGAGGAGAGATGCCTTTAAACTGGAAGAGAGCAGATTTGGGCTAGATATTAAGAGGAAAATCTTTACTCTGAGAGCTCAGCACTGGAACAAGTTGCCTAGCAAGGTTGTAGATGCCTCCTCCCTGGAGGCGTTCAAAGCCAGGCTGGATGGGCTTTGAGCAACCTGGTCTAGTGGAAGGTGTCCCTGCCTACAGGAGCAGAGTTAGAACTAGGGATCTTAAAGGTCCCTTCCAACCCAAACCATTCTATGATTCCATGATTTGAAATCAATTTATGTTAGCATCATAACCTTACCAACAGTTCCCAGAAAATAAGGGACTTAACAGTTTAACAATTTTCCCAGACAAAATTATTTCTTGGCTTAGAACTAGGAGTATTCTTTTTAAGGCTTGTTGTAAAATGTTACCAAAAAATGCACATACGTATTTTTATATATACTATATATATTATATAAAAGAAAATGTTAATTAAACTATATAGCAATCAGCTAAAACTGAAATTTCTGTGGAAATGAATACATGCATGCTCACACATACATGTTGACACAGAGAGCCACCAAGAAATTCCCAGCATTTTTAGTATTAGTTTGGGTTTCAAGACTTTTGGACTCAAAACTCAAACCACGAGGAGCCAACTGAGGACATAATCCCTTAGCCCACAGAAAAAAAAAAAATACTGGAATTCCTTTCTCAGACTCAACTCCTTGTGTACCTCTTGTGGTTCAGGACCACAAGTAGACATCAATTTTTCTTTGGTCATGCTTCCCCCACATTAGTGTTCTAAATATGGCTAACTTGGTCACCTCCTGCTCAAGACTGTTTATGAGGAGGTTGCTGCATGGTCAACCATGTCAGCATGCAGCACCAACAGACATACCTACCTAACGTGACAGGTATTCTGGTTTGGACAAAATGAAGTTTTTTCTCTTCTGCTTATTAGTATAAAAGACTGAACTTAACAAAATTATTTCCTTCTGCTGCAAGGGTGGCCTGGTTTTAGACACATGTTTGAATGAACTATTTATTCAAATGAGAAATTACTTTAAAACTTCTTGAGAGTCAGCATCTGCTATAGCCAGCATTATCTTAAAGAATATCTTCAGAACTAGTGCCAAACAGAATGAAAATTAGCTGAAATTTTATGTGCCAGCAGCCCAAAGAGATCTCAGGTGGCTCTAAAACTGTATAGTGGTGAAAATGGATAAGCAGGACGCTTCAAGTCTACTGATGACAGGAATCTCTCTCTCTCATCTCTAAACACTGAAGTAAAGGATTCTATTTGGAGCAAGTAAAGTCTTCTAAATTGGACAGCTTGCAACCTTGACTCCCAAAGAATAAAACAAACTAACAAAGAAAACCCCACAAGCCCAACAACTTGAAGTAAAATTCCAATCTCTTTCAATCTTCAGAGATAACAATCAACTTAGAAATAGAATGCATTGTCTGCTTCAAAAAATGCCAAGGGAACCTGAAGTAGAGGAAAATAGGTATGTATAGCTGGGACTGTTGTAAAATTGCAGAAAGCAGAAACAGATGCCTTTCAACTTTGATGAAAAAAAATCTAGATTATGCTTCTTTCTGTAACAATATATTGTCAGCTCAGAGACACTGGCAGGCTAGAGACTTGCACATTCCCAACAAAAACTGATAAGAGAAGCATGCCTTTAACTGTAAATATCAACTGTTATCATCATTCTCAAAAACTGCAGCTACAATTAAAATAGAAATTTCTTCATAAAAAAAAAAAAAAAAAAAAAAAAAAAAAAAATTAGTCCATAAAGTAAAAGGCAGCCCTTCTCAAAAAGTGACACAAAAGTATACATTTATTCCTCTGCAATAGTGACTCACCCAATCTATAACTCAATAGATTTAAATGTTCCTTCCCAAATCTTTCAGATGGAAAGTGCTAAGATAACACATGTCTATCATGTGCTTTGCACGTTCTGCCTGTGCTTGAAGTTGACTGGAAGAAAATAAATCTGAGCAGAAGAGATACGATCATTTTAAGCTCAGCGTTCTGCTTGACCTAATAAACTCTTTCAAAAGATTACAAAAAATTGTCCTTTCCCATATTTCTCAAAAAGGAAGCATGAATCAGGAGAGAAAATACGCTTTTTTTTTTTTTTTTTTGGCAGTTGTAGCTGTAGCAGCGGATCAACAAAAGATTACTTCCAAGGGCAAACAAGTTCAGAATCACTTGTCTGATTAATAGTAGATCATAAACCATTTATCAGAATCTCTGTTCATGTTAAGAATACAACTGTGTATGAGGTAACATACATAGAGTTTGCTCCCTTCTACCAATTTTCTTGTTCACCCATTCCCTCCCTTCCTTTCATCTCACCTATATATACTACATATACGAACTGTAAAAGGCTTTAGATTTTTCATACCTTTTCTTTCTATGTCATCATCTTACTTTTTTGATTTTTAATCTATGTATTTTTGCAAGTTTAAAAGGTGGGGAAAACACAAAAAGAATCAAATCTTTGAAAACCAACAATCATGATATAGTACTGTTCCTCATTAATTAAAAAAACAGGTATCAGAAAAAGTATTTTTTCTCTGTTAACCTATCTAATATAATATTCTGATACATAACTAGAAGAAACCTTAGCTGAAAGTAATCTGAAACATTAGATTGTATGCATTCTGGGAGACCAGCAAAAATATAAATATAAGAAAATTGGAAATAAAACAGAAATAATGATGCACATACATACTCACTGGATTTAAAACTGACTGTTCCCAAATTAAAACTCTGTAAACAATCCATGAAGTTAATTATCTCCAAAAGTTAATTTAAGATTTCTCTATTTCATATTTTAAGCAACTTAGCTAACGTTTTTATTTCAAAATTTTACTTAAATGAAAAAAAAAAAAAAAAAAAGCAGCTCTATTTAAATGGCAAACTCAAGTATACATGCCATGCTATATTTTTTCTGTTTCCTAAGGAACAAAATTTATGTTATAGAAATATCATTGCAGATTCTTACCATATCCTATAACAAAAGGATTCCAACAAAGCCTTCCTAGTAACTGGCCAATTAAAGGGAACTGCTGAATTGCTACAATTGAATTCTGTTAAGACATAAAAACAAAAACATAATAAACACACTATACATCAACAGTAAATTAGGAGAATAGTTAATGACGCAGATAACTGAATTATGTTCCCAATGATTTTGCTTTGAAATGCTCTGAAAGGAAAATGCTTGCAAGTAGGTAATAAAAGCAGAGCTTTGTGAAATCAGCTATAACATCATAATTCAAATCAGTTAAAGCTTAAGTAATTTTCTCAGCTAATGTTCAATTAATTGTGTTAGAACATTTTTTAATTTCCTCACATGCCATAATCATAAAACACTAGTGATAACCAAGACTTTGTGATAAATGTAAGCACAATTAAAATTTATTTTTGTTGGTACTCATTAATATACTGTCTCACGGAATTTCTGAAAAAATTAATATTCACTATGGCAAAAAAAAACCCACTACACATCTTTCTGTTACTTCTGTCTGCCTTCTTTTAATCAGCTTAGGTCTAGGCAGGAACAAACCGCCACTTACCTTTTAACCGAAGGCAAAGTAGCTTTACTAAAGTAGCATGCATTGTATTTATATACAATCCTGTGTAATCAATCTTATTTTTCCATTTTTGTAGTTCCACCATCTAATAAATGAAGGCTTTTAAAAATGGGGCTGTGCTGAGATTGTGTGTAAGTAGCAGGAGCGATAACCATCTCCTGTTGCGGCAATAAATTCCTTACATTTGTCTCACATTTGGGGTTAGCCCTAGACTTTCTGGGGCCATACTCACAAGGTCCATTTCAGGCCAAGCCTCAAATTACTAGAAATAGCAACATTAAAACAGACTTTTTCTCCTAAGGAAAAGACGTATTCACAGGAAGAAATACTACTAAAAGAATCTTCTATTTAAAAATTAAATTCAGATCAGAAATAATAATAAAAAAACTACAGCTCTGCAGTCTTTAAAGAAGAAAAAGTCAGCCTCATACTTTAATACAATATTTCTATAGCTATTTAAAATGACTACATACATTGAAAGTCATGCTCAGGAAAACATACACAAAACTAAACATAAAAATAACTAAATTTATTTAAAAAACAAACAAACAACAAAGTACTCTAGTAACTGCTAACAATAATTAAATTACGAAACAGGACAGCATGTGCCAGTGGTCTGACTGTACTGCCAGAGTTCACTGCACATGCCACAGTATTGGGGTTAAAATGTCAGAAGACTCTGAGATTTTTAAGTATCAGTTACAATTTTGCATGTGAATGTCCCTAAATAATCCCATTTATCACCTGTCAAACAGGAAAAAAAACACTTGTTTATTTTAAAGAGTTTTTTTTAAAGAGGCTAGAGCATTAGCTGGGAAACATCACAAGATGACAACCAATCAAGAACTGGCTGACTGGCTGAGCTCAGAGAGTTGTGATGGGTGGCACAGAGTCCAGCTGAAGGCCTAGATTTAGTAGTGTTCCCCGGGGGTTGGTTCTGGGTTCAGTCTTGTTCAGCATCTTCATCAATGACCTTGATGAGGGGATAGCGTCCACCCTCAGCAAGTTTGCTGATGATAGAAAGCTGGGAGGAATGGCTGATACACTAGAAGTCTGCACTGCTAGTCAGTGAGACCTGGGCAGCAACAAAAGTGTAGGGTCTTGCACCTAGGGAGGAATAACCGCGTGCACCAGTACAGGCTGGGGCATGACCTGCTGGAGAGGAGCTCTGTGCAGAGAAGGACCTGGGATTAGCCATGAGCAGCAGTGTGCCCTGATGGCCAAGAAGGCCAGTGGCATCCTGGGATTCATTAAGAAGAGCATGTCCAGCAAGTCAAGGCAGGTGATCCTTCTCCTCTATTCTGCCCTGGTCAGACCTCATCTGGAGTACTGTGTCCAGTTCCAGGCTCTCCAGCTCAATAAAGACAGTGATCTCCTGGAAAAAGTCCAGCAGAGGGCCACAAAGGTGATAAAGCGCCTGGAGCACCTCTCTTATGAGGAAAGGTGGGGTGACCTGGGCCTGTTTAGTCTTAAGAAAAGCAGACTGAGAGGGGATCTGATCAATGTCTAAAAGGTGCAGGAGGCAAACGTACAAGGCCAGGCTCTTTTTCAACTATGTGGTGATGGGTTAGGGAAACAGCCACAAACTGAAGCATAGGAAGTTCTGCACAAGCGTGCTTAAGAGCTTCTTCGTGGTAAGGGTGATGGAACACTGGACCAGACTGCCTGGAGAGATTGTGGAGTCTTTCTCCACCTGGACACCTTCTTGTGCAACCTCGTCTAGGAGCCTGCGTTGGCAGGGGGATTGGACTAGACGATCCCTAGAGGTCCCTTCCAATGCCTACAATTCTGTGAAGAAGAGAAAGCTCCCCTCCCAATAAATCAGGGGAACCACTAGTGCATCCCTGTTTATGTTAACTGGGACTGTTTCCCCAGTTTGTTTCTCTGATCCAGAAACAGAAGCCTCTTTGATTCCTTTTTTGTCTAAACATGGCAGATTTTTTCCGAGGCTGCAAAAGAGGTCATTTTTCCTCTTAAAGTCACTTACCATTTGTTTGAGAGTTTCGTAAGTCTGACATAGAAACTCCTGCAACTGGGGCAAGTGAAGACAGACATCTTTCTGGGATTCCAAAGTGGTGGCCTGACCCCACTCAATAGCTTTATCCAACCAAAATTTGAAATTCAATTTAGGCATTGTAGTGTCCTGGGCCATTCCACGATGCTTTAAAAAAAAAATAAAAAGAATAAAGAAAAAAATTACAACTCCAAATCAGGCATAATTAAACACTGGCTTGAGACCATGAATGGGAAGAAGGATTTCTGCTAACATCATGTTCAAATGGAATGGAATCACGGTATATCCTTAGGGTGCCAATTTTTTTTCTAATAGGAGCAGGGCAAAATAATCACCCCATTGAGACAAAGTAACAACACTGGCACAGTGATTAGTAAATTATCTTAGAACATACCATCTGTGTCTCAAGTTTCTAATATCTGAATTTGTCTTTACCTATATTTCACTCAAAGAATACTATAATAAAGTGAGTAGATATTAATTCGGACTGCTTTTCATGAGAGGAAAACTAAGAATGTCAATTTCAACAAATGAAAACACTAAAAAAGGGTTTAATCAAAACAAAAGGGCCAAGGTGGGGTGGGGCATAGTCTCAGTGAGGCTTTGCTTGTTTTAAGTTCTGCATTTGTTCATTAAAGTGCAAAAAGAGCATTCTCCTTAAAGGAAATCAATGAACTCAGTACTTTCAATCTGATTTTCTTTTTTATTGTTATATAAAGAAGGGTGAAAAGCAACCACATCCAACCTTTGAATAAAAGCTATAATCTATATCCAGTTGCACACTTCAATGCAAAAACTGGATCTTGGGACAAAGGGAATTATTGTCAAGCCAAAATATTAAAATTTAACTAAATTTCCCCAGTAAAAGACACAACCATTTTTCTTCTATTTAACAATATTTTTCCTCAGCAAAAGAGAGAATAGAGCAGCACATGCTACACCAGCCTTTATACATCTTAAGAAGGAACAACACATATGCCAGAAGGGTAATTGAACTCTTGCAGGTATTCAATCATTGGCTCAGTATCAAGATTGTAAGGACAATTTTCATTTAATACACATGTAATGGCTGCTTTCAGAAATTAGATTCAGAAAAAAATCCAGAAAAAAATTCAGAACTGTTAACTATCTGGAGACAAATTCAGACACACAGAAGCAATGGAAATCAGTGAATATTTATTTTCTAACTTACAGACACAAAGCTACAAACCAGAAAATAAACCTTAGCAGCAGCCCTGCAAAAACAGCTTTATACAGCTAACTCTTCATAATCACAACTTAAATATCATGCTATTCCATGCCAGACAAGAAAATGAAGACTATTAATCTTTGAATAAACTCATTTAGTTTCTAACAGTAACAACTATATATCCTAAAATGAATGAATGTCAGCTATTACATGACTTTGAATACTTTCCAGGGGTGGGGGGGAGCGAAAGCAAAGCTGTTGGCTTGCCAGGTAGTTAGATCTAGAGATAACTCCATGATAATCTGCATCTGTGACAGGGCCTACAAGCCCGCTGACCCGAAAAAAAAAGGAGAAGGGGAGAGCGTGGGGGGAGGAGAAACAAAGAGGGAAAGGAATAATAATAAATAAGGGAAAAAAGAAACAGCGATAATGATCTGAGGAGGAAAGTTATTTTTCTCATTATAATAGCAGAAATACAAGTTAATCAGGATTGAAGCTAATAAACCAAGAAAATGAGAGAGTTTCCAAAACCAAAAGGCTTTACTCTAATGCTGAAGGCAAGACGGATAGGGAGCATAAACTGCTAAGATGAGCAGTAAGAGAAGGGGCAGTCTCATGAGCAGTTTTATCTTTCCCTCTAAATGGAAAATGGAAATGGAACATTGAAAGTCTTCCTGGAGATGTAGATGTTCTTCTCTTCTGAGAATCAGGTACCCAGAAATATTGACAGTTCAAAGAACTGGAGTATTAACTGTTTACTTCCCAGTGTATGTCATATCCGATGACATGACTACATGATGTCATGATGTGGAATACCAATAATAAAAATCATAAAACCATAACAATAGTTCAATGTATGTTTGACCTAAGCACACTCAAGGCAATGTCAGCAGAGCTCATGCTATTTCATTATTACTTTCTCAGTTTGCACAGGGCCAAAACATCTCTTTGGAACTCTCTCAAACCTGACTATTTAGTAAGCATTAAAAATAGCCAAACATCCAGCTGCAACTAGCAAACTTTCTATCATCACAAGGGTATAACGAAAACTTTAAGAACTAATTTACAGCCAGAAGATGGACTTACAGGTTTGAGCAAACTAGCGAACCCATTTGGTGATCCCATATTAGACAAATCCTCCTAAATAACTGAAAAAGTTTTCTAACAAAATGACTGTTGAAAGTGTTGTAAGGAAAAAATAATACCACAGACACTCTAGCATCCTGGGAGCATCCACAAGAGATGAGTAGGTATTAATAGAGGACCAAGGTAAGAAAATGAAACAAGCCTATCTCCTGTATCAGACACATGCAAGTTCTAATCCAGGATGCAAAGCAGGGCAGCTGTGACTGGTAAGAACAGCCTCTTCCCAGAAGTCTGAAATCTGAGCCCATTTTGCAGCATCACAACATTTTTTTGAAAATTTCTTTTTGTCTGGCATAAACAATTTCTCACAAGTGCTCATTCTAGTTATAAAAAAGATTTTCTCAATTGTTTATGGTGTCTGGTCCCAAAGAGAATGATTTTGTTAACAGTACTTATGCTTGTCTTCAATTCAATACTGTGGGAAAGCATACAGTAAATAAATACTGTAAATATACTGAATGTATAAATAACACAATTAAACAGGAAGCATGACAGACCAAATCAAACACACAGGTTTCATCTCAGAAACTGCCAAGAGACGTACAGCTTACCAAAAACAGAAATAAAAAATTAACTAGTTAATTACATGTAACTAAACATATATACCTAAGTACAAAATAACCTAAAAGGGCTACAGAAATTATACACGACACATGCTTGGTTTGTCCAGTCAGATACTATCATTTCCCAAGGTCTTTTTCAGTCTCCTTTCCACTCCTTTCAGTTAGACGGGATTCCTATATCAGTTACAAAAAAATCTAGATCTGGCACTGTCTTTTTTTTTTTTTAATTTTTAACTATTTTCTCTAGAATATGAGAAATTCAGAAGCTGGATTTATTGTAAATCACCTTAATAATCATAAAAGCTTTTGAGTTGGAATGGGCCTTTAAAGGCCATCTAGTCCAACTCTCCTGCTATGAACGGGACGCCTACAGCTAGGTCGGGTTGCTCAGAGCCTGGTTCAGCCCAACCTTGAATGCTTCCAAGGACAGGGCATCTACCATCTCACTGGGCAACCTGATCTAGAACCTCACCATCTCTGTTGTAAAAAAAACTTCCTCCTTATTTCTAATCGAAATGGAAAAGAAAGGTAAATCCGCAGAAAAAGCCGTTATGAGGAGAATGAGCAGCCCCCGACGTGCGGCGCAGTGACACGGTGCGGGTGGAGCCCGGGTTGGCAGCGGCCGAACACCGCCGCGAGTACAAAACCCGACACCCGGGAGCGGCGCGGACAGGACGGGCGCGGCGCGTCAGAAGAGCGCGGCGCGGAAGTTGGAGCGGGCAGTTCGCGCAGGGCAGGCGAGCACGGACGGCGAGCACCCTACGTGCTAGACAGATACATTCATCGAGAGATTATCACCCGCAAAGTACAAGCTCCTCCCGCTCTCAGTGCAGGATTAACACCCCCCCGAGGACAGAGACTTAGTCGTGGTATCCACCCGAAGGAGAGCTATGGTGTCTGCCCCTGTCAGAAAGGATGTTGCAGCCCTGACTGAATTCAGAGGCAACGATGTATCTGTCCAGACATCCGGCTGTGTAGAGTGCACGAGTCTTCCACTGGCGTCGTGGTGCAGTGGAACAGCTGCGCGAGGTGCTAGCAGGCAGATGGTGCCTCGCTTGTGGTGAGGCGACGGGATGAAACACACAGATTGGAAAGTGACGGGGGAAGAGCAGGAGCGAGGAAACGGCAATTCACTTGTGCACAAACAGGTAATTTCAAAGGAGAAAACACAAAACGCTGATGTACTGCATCAGGTTGAAGGAAAAAAATCCTGCAAGGCTGGAGGGCAAGAATACAAAGGAAAGGTGAGGATGGAGGCAATCCTGCATCTGAAGCTGCAAACAAAAACCCTCCCTGCCAACACCACGCACGCAGATGTCTCTCTACAACAAGTATGAGGCCCTGGGTGTGAAAGGCCAGTCTGTGGGTGATGGCAGCCCACTCAGCCTGAACAAACTAACAAAACCAAACCACAGAAAACAAGTCAACATCACAGAAAAAGAAGAGTTGTAGGTGATCCTCCTACAGGGAACTTAATGTTCAACATGCCAAGCAGACGCTCCTCTTACAGAAGTCTGTCTTCCTGGGGCTCAAGTGAGGATGTCACCAGGAACAGTACTCAGCCTGGTACAGCCATCAAGCCACAGCCCCTTTGTGCTTGTCCATATACGGAGAGATGAAGTAGCTATATGTGGGTCAAGGGCTATCAAAAGAGATTTCAGGGCCTGGGTAGGACAGCTGAAGGAACTGAATGCACAGATCTTTTTTTCTTCTGTCTCCTCTGTTGGGTAAGGACTTGGAAACAAACCAAAGGAGCTTTAAATACCTGACTTTGGGGCTGGTGCCGTCACCAGAAATTTGTTTGGTTTTTTTTTTTGACAACCAAATGGCACCAGGTTTACGGACACCTGATGGGGTTCACCTTTCTCAAAGCGGGAGAAGGGTCCTTGGGGAAAAGCTACCAGGGCTCATTTGGAGGGCTTTAAACTAGGTCTAAAATTAGGTCTGAAGGGGGACAGAAGGCATAGTGAGCCTTCCTATGATAAGCTACGAAAAGGCATAGCTATATTAGAGGGACAGGGTGATAGGAGAGGCTTTGAAGGACCCGCTGCCTTGAGAGGTGCTGGCAACACTGTACCATGCACAAAACCCTATGATGATGAGCAGTGGCTGCTGGGCAATAGAAGGCAGTGGGGAAAATCAAGGGAAATATTTGAAAGGAATTAAGGAGTTATCCTTTAGGGAGGTGACAAGACCAGCTGCCCCAACATCAATGCACAGCGTGGGAAACAAACACAAGGAACTGGAAA